TGTGGTTTTTGGCATTAGATGATGTATGATCCTTATTCTGGTCATGGGAAATATTTGTTCATTGTGGTGTTAATGCTGGAATGTTTTCATCAAAAAGAAATATCAAACTTTCAACTGCCATTAAACTTGTAAAGTGGCTGCCACTGATTCCAGCACTTTCCAGGCTTTCAATAGAAGGTTTTAAACAGGGTTTTGATGAACTAGGTGGGAGTTATGACTTGCTTGGGATAGAGGCAGGATCATGTTCCTGCTCTGAGAGCAACTGTTGGCCATGGAAACCCTTGGACTCCTCTGTGGTTCTACCAACATCTCAGTCCTCTTGATTTGGTGCTAAATCTGAGGCTCCCATGCAGTGCTCCAAAATCAAAGTAATTCTTTTAGCAGATGATTCCTGTAAACGAAATTTCATCCTGTGCCTTTTTCCCTGCAGAGCAAATGAGCTTCCACTGTTACCAGCTATTTGCAGGGCTGTTGTTGTGAGCCTGAACAGGATCGTAACAACCACACTAAACTTCCTGTATTTTCTAGGAATCTGGAAATGCCCCTGAGAAAGCAAAGCTCTCCCTAGCATTGAGCCCAGCTTGGTTTTGCACTTGGCTATACATTTTAGCAAAAGAACTGTCAATAGTAACTGTACAGCACTACAGCCATGGGAGCCTCTGCATCAGAGCTCCCTACCAGTGAGAGGAAGATGACATTCCTTTGGGGAAGACTTCATTCCTTTTCCACACAGGGATGGTGTCAGCAGCATAAAAAAAGGGATGTTTTATTCATGGGGACATTTTTCCCCCTATATGATCCATAATTGGAAGGAAACTGGCCGTGATTCAATAGGTGATGCAATGTATATCCAGTGTACAGACCATATGTTGTCTTCAGGACACTTCCTCTAATTCAGGCACCTCCACAGGTAGCAAGCAGACTGATGCCAAATTAGCTGTTGTCATCTCCTTGTGGCTTAACCCAGCTCAGAAGAAAATAAATATTTACATCTTAGCTGAATCCTCTCATCTGCCTTCAATATCTCAGTTTAAGACATATGGATTTGTGGCAGTGATGGGGGACTAGACGTTGTGTTAAGCACTAGATTATGCTAATAAATTCATGGTTTATATCTGCAAAAGAATTAATATTGATAAGCATATGTTTATGAGTTTCATATTCAGCAGAACCTTCTAGTCATATACCTACGTGCCAGCTCTTTGCAAAGTCAGGGATCTAGTAGTTTACACAAACATTGTAGAAACTGTAAATAGACATGATTTAATTTTAATTTAGGGGGGAAAATGAGATGTGAAAAATGTTCTACTCGAACCATTTACAGCCCGTAGTACTCTGCTATACTGAGTGTGAAGTTCTTTAGTCAGTGATGGAAAGGAGAGCAGCTGAGCATGCAGGGAGAGAAAAAACCCTGATGGGGAATGTGAAGCATGTTTTGTTTTACTCTGCACCCGTACAATTCTGTGAGTTTAACATGTCCAGTTATGTATTCTGTGATTTCAACCGCCAAGAGACAGATCCTGATATCCCAAGCACTAAGTGCTCTTGCTTTCAGCTGAAATTAGAATGCATGATCAGTCAAACACTAATTCAAATGACAGGTTCAGTGAAAGGTACTTAAAAAAATTCCCAATCAGACCTGCCTATAAGAAATGAATTTTTCTGATTCATTTGCATTAAAAAACAAGCTACAGCTTGGTTGTAAGGGCTGTGCATTGCCCTTTCAGCAGAGAGATAGAGATAGAGATGACATGTGCTTATTCCCCACCCAGGAGAAGCAGAGTCTGACTCTCATCAGGTTTTGCCATTTGACCAATTCATCTTTCCTTGTGTAGAGCTTTGGTAACCTGGCCTTGGTTTCTTTGTCTGTAAGATTTAATATTAAGTTCTTCTCAAAAGAAAAGCTGTGACCTGCTTCATTAGGACTGAAGAGAAAATGATGGACTCCCATGGGAGGTGTCACTGTAAGGAGCACGTTTGTGTTTGTGTTAGAGGACTCAGAGTCTCCCTGCTCAGGCTGGAGGAGTTTCTTGTGACAGATTATCTCTGATGATATTTAGCAAGCAGCTCACATGCAACAAATAAAGGCCAGACACGTGTAAGACTGTCTGCTTCTGGTAGCTTCATATTAAGCGAGGCTATGAGCGGTTCCATTTTGCCACATTTGCTTTAACCTCTGAAGTCTGTGCTCCATCAACCAATGTTGGAATACCCTTTCTGAGCTTGTGTCTATCATTCTGGAGGTGTTGAAAAATCGTGTAGATGTGGCACTTGAGGACATGGGTTGTTGGTGCACCTGGCAGTGATTGGATGGTTGGATTTGATGCTCTTGGAGGTGTTTTCCAAACCTTCTCAAAATCTGGGAGGGGTAGGTCTTTTGTTACCTGTTGCTTGCTTAGGTGCAGGGTGTAAAATTGTTTTAAAAAATTAATTTTTTCTCTTCAGAGGCCTGATGCTTTCAAGGAGGCCTGTAGCTGACAAGTCAGTCTCTCCAAGGCCCCTGGGAACGAGTGCTGACGTTGCTCATTCAGCCCTTCTGCATGAACCATATGACTGTTTCACTCACAACAAATATTGCAGGCAACCTTGAGCACCGTTTGAAAAATTGTCAATAGGCATCCTATTCCTTTATGCTGGCACAGAGCTGCTCTGCTTCCAGTTCTGCAGTGCTGTTGTCATACTGGGCTGAAGGCAGCAAACAGATTTCTTTTCCATGTGGCATCAGGAACGATGTCTGTGCGAGATCTGGCACAGAAAACCCTCCACACTTATAATAGATATCTTCTTACTTTGCTTTTTGCTTTAGGTCTGCAGCTCTTCTGCTCACAGGCCTCTCAGGTGCTGTGTCTTCTTGCCAGCTGTGATACAGCAGAGAACGATGAGAGGACACAGAGAATCAAAGACTGACAGGGTACATGGGCTGTTTGCTGCAGCCCTGGCTGGCTGTCAGTCCAGGAGAAAGAGTGGCTGCTCGGCTCAGGAATTTGGTGCACTACAGCAGAGATGTCAAGAAAAAAATCCCTTTGGATAGAGGGGAATAAAGGAGGAAAGGCTCAGAGTGTTTTCACCAAAACCTAGGTGATATAAGAATCTGCAAGACAGGCATTACACCCATAGGAGGTCATAAAAAGCCAAATTCTATTCTCTGATACTTTGCTCTTACTGTAAAATAACTCCTGGAGCAACTGAGGAAAATTTCTCTGTGAGGACTTTCAAAACTACAAGTAGAAACCAAACAATTCAAAGCATTAAATTCCTTTTCCTTCACATCTGACCTTACTGGCCTCGTCTCTCAGCTTCTCCATACAAATCTGCCTGTATAGAGTCTTGTGGAGTCTCAGACTGAGATTCTGATGGCTGTTTCTGATTTTCTGTTTCTTAGAAGTGTATATGGTTAGATCCATCTAAATGGTACAGTTCCTGTATGGAAACGATCTCATATTATATGGCTTACATAAACTGATCATTAAAAGAGACATATTTGGCCCTAGAGATGATGACTTTGACAACAGGGAATCAAACTGGTTTTGCTGTTTAATTTGCAGTCCCCTGATATGTGTATTATTCCTAGTACAGTACAAATGATTGCATCCAACTCAGTTATTTTTCTAACCTAAATACTGGTTTTCTTTCCTTGATTCTGCGAAACTCTGAATCACAAAATGGTAGGAGAGTGTTTCCAAGAAGGAATCAGTGTGTCCTTGCCCTCTACTTCTGCTTTTGCTTTTGTATCCATCACTGGCCACTGCCAGGAACAAGGCTCTGGGCTGGATAAACTCTGATCTGACCCGGGATTATCACTCTTTTGATATTGCACAGGTGATAATTGAAGCATTTAGCAGGGTTCAGAAATAGAGGTGTGGGAGCTGTGAGAGGGACTGAAGAAGGACATCTCAGGGGCTGAATCCCTACAAATTCTCTGCAAAGTCAGGGATGTCTAAAGGACTGGTGTCCTGCCTGTGGGAGTTCAGGGTGACCAGGTTCCTACCTTAAACACTGGTGTTATTTTCACTGCTTAAAATTAGGTAAGACAAAGCCTGCTTTAGCCACTGATTGTCTCACCTAGGTTGCTGTTGCCCTGGCTTCAGGATCTGGGTTGAAAGGGTTGCACAGAGTTACCTTTGGCCCTCCTTCCCATGCAGCACCAGTTACAGCTGAAACAAAGTCCATGAACAATCTCTGTTTGCTGTTTCACACAGCTGGGCTGCTGGCACACTACAGCACTTTGCATACGCTGATTTAACTGTTGAAAGATTTATTCACACAAAAATCTTCCTATTCTCTTACTCAAAGGATTTTTTTCCCCCACACATTTTGTTGTCAAAACCCTTTTCCCATCTGTTATTGGGGCAAAACAACCTCCTAGTCTGGAAGTTTCATTCATGGATAAAGCTTTTCGCTGGGACTTGTTTTAAGAAGCCAAGGGTCGGGGGCAGATTTTACTCCCGGTGAAATGAACAACAAAACTCCCATTGATTTCCCTGTGAGCTGAACGGAGCCTCTCCTGACAATGGGGAGATTTTTAGAGGAGTTACGATGGCCGTGGACAAGGTCTTGTTGCTTTGCCCTCTCAAAAGAGAACTGTTCCTGGTGGAGGAACAATCAGAATATTTGTCTCTTTAAATGAATGGTTCTCAGAGCCCGCACTGAGAGGCAGGCTCCCTCTCTGCGGCTGTGAGGCTACTCAGAGCCTCCAATAAATCAGCATGCAGGAGCTGAGAGCTCTGTCCTTGAAGGGATGCACAGTGACCTTGCTTGTGCTTACTCTAGAGGAATAACCAGGGGAAAGAGAGGAGCCCAAATAGTGAGTGGTGTATGACTGAAGGCACTGCATGCCGCATGCAAATGCTACGGCAGGGACAGCACGCTGCTGCACGGAATGCAGCTTTCCTGACATTCCTGATAGCCTGACCAGATTGCTGCTGCTGCTGCCTTTTCCTTTTCTTTCTTTCTTTCTGTTTTTTTTTCTCTCTCTTTTTTTTTTTTTTTTTTTTTTGCAGGGGACTGAATGAAACCCTCATGATTGTTACATGCTTGTTCAATAATAGCACGCCCCAGTCACGTCTCCTTGTGAGCACATTTCGTTGGAATCACTGAGCAGAAGCGGAGAAGAGCTGACGACTATGTGTTTCCAACGCAGGTTGCCGGAGCCCCGTGCTTGCCATTGGCTGCAGTTTTCTGGTTTATTTGCAGCTTCCCCCATCTGGAATATGAAAATGGGATTGAAGTAGATAATTGCTAGCAGCGGGTTTTCAAGAGAGGCTTAGAGGGAACAGAATGCCTCTCTCACAGCATAAGCTGCCTGCGCTGGAAGAGCTCTGAGAGATGATTTTAGATGTTACCCACGTCTGAATCTCCTGGAAACTTTACCATGGAAGCAAGCCATTACGCACAGTCCTGGAGCTAACATCCAAAAGGGGCAAGGAAGGGGCAGCAGGACCAAACAATGGGATACCTTGTCCTTGGACTGCTCACAGAAAAGCCAGCGAGCTTTCCCCTCCGCTTCCCGGCAAGAAGGGCATGAAGGTGGCAATGAACTGAATTTTACCCGGTGGAGCTTCAGTGGCTTTTAGGAAGGATGGGATACACTGACCCTTCGTCAAGCCGGGATTTGCTGGGAAACAGAACTTTGTTCTTCATATTCATCTGCGCCTTTGCTGTGGTCACCTTGCTGCAGCAGATCCTCTATGGGGGAAACTATCTCAAAAGGTAAGGGGGGATTCTGGGGAACAGGAAAAGTTGTCTGATAGGACTGGTGGGAGCTACAGAGCTCCAGCCAAACCATTATAACAGTACAAACCACTTCCCGGTGTTGTGCTGACAACATTAACACCTTATCTAGGAAGGTGCATCTGGCATCTGTAATGTCTTAGATTATGAATGCTGGAGAATGTCAGGCAGAATACAACGTTTTGTGAGTTTCTTAGGTTATATTTTAATCCTCAGCTGTCGCAAAAATATAGGTTGCATTTACCTTAAAGTGACTTGCACCACCTGAGTGTTTGCTCCCGATCAGGTCCTGCCTTACGGGATTCCCACTCTGTGTAAGTTCTGGCTGAAATACCTCAGGGGGTGGGGGGAGGTTGAGTTAAGGTAGCATGCTCATTGCTTAGATTTTAATGTCTTTAGAAACAAACATGCAGATGCAATTCCTAAAGTCAAAGTGGCAATAATACTCTTGCAAATAACTGAGGGAGCGCTTTATTTTCTCACTGTTTTATTCCTATGAACTGCTGCTGAGACTGCCCTGCTGTAGAGCACATCAGTCCTTCATCTGAAAATGGTACTGCTCTTTTCACAGCAAACACCAGTGGGGATCTCTAAGTGTTTAACCTTGACCCATGCAGAGTTTGCTTTACTTAAATCTAGTTTGAGGAGTTACAGCTTGTATGATTTTATGAAGAGGAATGTGCATCTTTCATGCTTTGAGGTAAATGGGTTTCAGTAGTATAGGCAGCTGCTGTGGAATTTTTTACTGGAATTAAGCTGCATTCTGCCAGAAGAGATCAATGGTTTGGTTCTTGCCTTGTTTGCAACCCGTGTAGTTGTCTGCCTTGTGCCAAGAGCAAGCAAAATGCTGGCAAATCAGCAAACATTTCTCTCTGGGAGGGAAAAACAAGCATGATACTAATATGTATAGACAGGAGTGTTGTTTATCCACAAAGAAACTTGTGTGCCTTGCACAGCCCCTCTGACTGGGGGCTCTGTCTGCTTTTTGGGCACCTCAGTTCCAGAAAGATGTGACTTTCTCGTTTGGAAGGAGCAAGAATGAGCAGAGGTGTAGAAAACATCTTTGTTTGGTTGGAGAAAAAGGAGGGGAGATATGATAACTGCCTTGAAATACCCAAACTATTTCTGACAGGAGGAAGGCAATAAATACATGTCTGTAAAGATTGATGACATGATAAGAAGTCATAGTCGTAGGCTGTAGCAGGAAAGATTTGAATTTAACCAGATGGAAAACTTTTAAAGAAAAAGGTTATCCAAGGAGGTATAAAATCTCCATGTTTGGGGGCTTCAGGAACCTGGTAGGTAGAAAGAGGTAGTGCCAAGCTGCCTTGGTGTTGAGGGTCTGACTTTATGGCCAGTTGAGGTCTCATCTTGCATTATTTTCTCAGTTTTTCGCATCTATGCTGGAGGTCTGGCAGCCCTAGCAATCCTTGTTTCTCTAAGTCAAGTGACTGAAACAGGATCAGAGCAATGAGAAATAGATCCCAAGCACAAACTGAAATGAAAAATGCCAGAGTAAAGATAAAATGATGAGAAGATGCAACCAAAACTCTTCCAGTGAGTGATCTCTGTGGCCTGTCTCTGTCCTGCCTTGTGCCCTGGGAGCCTCTGCTGTCATCATCAGGGAATGAAAAAAGACTGATGTCCAATTCCCAGGATTGAAAGGAGAAAGTCTGGTTCTGAGCCCTCTGCCATCAAAGTGGCTCAAGCAGGGACATGTGCATGCATTTCATCACTTGGACTGGAAAACGCTCTTTATTTATTTATTTATTTTATTGCTTATTTATTTATAATTCCAACTTGTAATTATTTGTTTCTTTTCCTTTTTTCTGATTTTTTTTTTTTTTTAAATCATGTGAGAGAGTCTCAAAGAGGGCTTCACCCCTCCCCTCATTCAGAGCAGGGAAAGAGCCCCTCAGCTCCTTTCAGCTGGGAAATGGCAGCTCCCATCTTTCATGGAAATCAGAATGCAGGACATGGCAGTCCCAGGCTGCCAGTTATTGACAACAGAAAGGTGATTTATGTAGCAGCCTGCATTGTTGCCATGAGGTTATCATGAAGTTACTTTTTTCAGTTTTCCTTTCCCTCTCTCAGTCCTAACGCCCTGAAGTACCTTCTGGTGACCACTCCCAGGCAGTCTGACTCCAACCTGCTCCGTGCAGGGGTAGCTGTAACCTCTAATTACTCTTTTATTTCACAAACCTCTGGTGCTAAGTCCCGTCCTAGAGGCCAATGCTGACTGTGAGGTTCCTTGGACAGGTTATAACTGGTCCCTCAGGGACCACGGTGGAGCTGGTGGTTTTGGAGAGGATCCTTGCAGAGCTGAAGTGGGATATTTATATCTCTGGTGCCACTTGCCAAGCTGGATCTTGGGGACACTGCCTAAACCTGCAGCCATTTACTCACTGGGATTCCATGTGCTGCTTGTTTGGTGATGGCCTTTACTTGCATCCCAACACCAGCAACAGCAACAGGCCCTCAGGACTCTTCCCAAGGCAGAGGGAAGAAATTCCCCAGTGTGTTTAGAGAAACCTGAAAACTGCTACTCCAGTAAATGTACAATGCTTTTTGAGTCTAAATACAACAACGGGGTAGCTCTTTTCTCTGCAAGAAGATGGTGGAAATGGGCAAAGGCCAGCAAGGCAGAGGGCATCTGACCTAAAGCAAGCAGCTTGGGCTCAGTGCAGGGGACAGCATAAGCTCAGGACTGGTCCCAGAAAGCAGAGTGGAGAAAGCCATCCTTTTCTGGGAGAAAGATGGGAAAGCTGACTGTAAGCTGTGCCATGCCAGATGCCCTTAAAAGAAGGGAATGGGCTGGTTTGATCGCCACAAAATCCCACCTGAGACTGTCCATAGAGGTTCCCTGGAGGCTCATGGTCTGTGTTTGCCCATGGCCATGTTCCCAAAGCATCTGTGGGGGTGGCAGGACTGCGGACAGGAGAGGAAATAAACTCTGCTCAGTGAAATTTGATAAGGGGCCCAGCCTCTGGTCAAGTCCTCTCTTTCTCCTTATGAGATACTGATGAGCTCCTGGCATTGCTGGAAGAAGGGGAGGATGCAGAGATTGAATTTCTAGGCATTCACACCTTTTCCACCCACCGCGTAATGTTCTCTGTTCCTTCCTTTGCTGTTTTATAAAGGGGTCACTGGAAATCAGAATCCTGCCCGCCTTTTTTTTTTGGCCCTTTTTCAGTTTTCCCCAAAGTGGGATGGACGTGGGTGCTTTCATCAGGGCCAGTGCCTCATCCCTGTAGTGGCAGTTGAAGTCCCAACAAAAGAGAGAAAAACTGCAAGCTGGAGAATGATATCGGGGAGCTCCGGTCCCTGTAGCTTCTGATCCCAAGTAAAAAAGGATGATGAAATGAGATATAATTAAGGGACTTTAATACGGATCTCTGGGGTAATTATTTTTATTTTAGGATTAATGTGATGATTAAAAATCCACTGCATTGATCTGCTAAAGTGGGTTAAATGCTGTGGACTTCTGCTTAAATCCAGAGCTGCCTCTTGCTTTGGTATTGGCTCCTCTTTCCAGTGCTCGCCTTTCAGTTGAATTTTCTTTTGAATCAGAAGCTCAGCTGAGGGCTGGCCTGTTTTGTCAACTCTTGTTTGGCCAGCAGGGAATAATCCTGGATTACATCAGGAAACTGCCACTACAGTAAAAAAATGTTGAAATCTGTCTTCATCTCCCAACCTGTAGCATGGGAGACATCAATAGAACAGTCCTTCCTCTTGGCAAGGGAAAAATATCAGAGCAATACTTTCCTATATGCCAATACTCTACTGGCAGGAAATTCACTAAATTCTGGGTGTTTTACCAGCCTGACTTCTCTAAAGGGTGAGTGTTAGAGTGTTAGCTGAAGAAGGGAAACTGCACCTTTAAAACGACTTTTTTTTTTTTTAGCCAAGTGAAGAGAACACACTTTCAAAATTTTTAAAGACTCTAAACATAGATTACCCTGGGGCCTGCCAGAGGGGGTACATACAATATCTCTAAGAATCACACAGCAAGAGGCAGAAAACCTTCCCATGCAGGCAGCCTGCATTGTTTGAAAGCTTTACATCTTTTAAATGAGAATAAAACATTGCTCTTACGTCTGTGTATGCCCTAATTAATATCAGAGTCTCATGACTTCAGGTAATACCACCATTTTTGTACATCTGAAGTAGTTTTTATTCAACAGTTGCAAATCAACTCCTAGACATTCCTTATCACATAAGAAAGATAGCTTATGATAATTTTTTGCACTGTATGGGCAAATAAGGAATAAACACACAGAATAAACCTACAGAAAATAATCCTGGACTACACCTCGAGAGATCATTTGTCCTGTACCACAAGAACATGTTGTACTTATACCAGCAACAGTAGGAGTTGCAGAGGCTGCATGTGCCCTGAGCTGTATTTTGTCCTAAACTGGTTGTTTGAGGAACTACAGGCAACTCAGGTCAGCTGAGAGCTCCTGCCCCATTCCTGCCCTGTGCTCCTCTGGACTGTTCCTAAGACCCTGTGGAGGTGTTAACTATAACCTGAGACCACCTATCCCAGTGTAAAAAGTCTCTTTTCATTGAAATATTTCCCCCAGGAGACATAAGCTGAAGGTCACCTAGTGAGTCATCTCTGTGGTCAGGTAGCTCTGTGCCTCCAATTCTAACCAGAGGGAAATGTTATGCCAGAGAAATGACATGTATCCTGTGAGTCACCTTGATGAATCCCTCACAAAGCTACAAAGCAGGTCTTGATTTTGGGTGGTTTTTTTTTTTCAGAGAAGAGCACTGCAAACTTCAGGACAAAGCAAAGTCTTGAAACTACACATAATACAAAAAAAAATTGTGTATTTATGGAATATGGCCATCACCTTAAAGTGACTGTGTCTAACCTGGCATAGCAGGAGAAGCTGAGAATCCAGCCATGCTGATCTTTCTACAAGGTATTCCCAAGGGCATTTCAAGGCGATGAGGACTGGGGTGCAGGCATC